CCCCCCCCCCCCCTAACAGGACCTCTGCTCTCCACCCAGGTATAGAATTGAGTACAGCGTCAACTACAATGCTGAAGGGGGTTGGGGTGGGGGACCTGTAATGAACAATCAGCCCATCTAGGAAGGGGTCCAAGAAAAAATAAAAATATCTAATAATATTAATAATTATAACATTTTCTATTAATCGCTTCATGCCTAACGAGCTATCCAGTATTACTATAAATCTACTAGCATTCTATCACGGATGCCGTCCTCTGGTTGGCTACGTTACTCATTATCTATTCTGTTGTAGATAGTGAGTAGCTTAGCAGTGTGCGGTTGTTAACAAAATGACAGCCACTTATTCGCGTCTTCGAAGTGTCTGTGAAGAGGATTTAGTTTAACAGACTAGAAGTTTTGAACGGCTAGTAGATTTATACTAAAACAATTAGATTATGCGCTCTCGATTTCTAAGCGTGATAGTTGACTCAGGCTGCGCCCTCGTCAAATATCACGCGATAGAAATCTCGAACTCATAATCACACCGTTAATTAGAAAGGGAACTGAAACTTTTCAAATGTCACAATGTTTTATCACTCTGTTTTCTTTTGCTTTACCACGGCAAAATTACTTCTACACCCTACAGTCTCTTGAACTAACGACCTAACAACTCAAGGGAGACTTCAATTAATAGCAATTTTCTAGATTTAGAGAGAAAAACCACGTCATACTTGAAATTTTGGAATGTTAGTTCTAAGGCGGGAGGAAGCGGAAGCGAAAAACATGACAGAACCAAGGGAAAAAAATCAGTTTTCTTTAGTCACCCTCTTCTCCTTTCGCAAAGTTGTCAATATGATAATGGCTTCTACATGTAAGTAATTTCCAACTCACCAATTTAAGTGCTTTTCGCCTAAGCTCCCATTCATTCCACTCGTACGACTTGACAATGTTTGACTCCATGAAATGTGTGTCTGTCTGTGTTCCACTATCGCACTTAGTGACAGGAACTTCAATCATTCGACCAGGTTCCTTACCCTAATCAATGAGATCAACATTAAGAAACTCCTTACCAGTTTTCACACACTTCTTAATGTTTTGTAGTGAGATAAAACATTAAGGAGGAGGGGCTTATTAGCGCGTGGGCTAATACGAGGCAGTTAACGGTACTTGAAAACGTTGAGAGAATTTAAGCATTAATCGGTAATTCAGGATAAGCGCCAATGTTTGAAGTTACAGTAACTTCCTTTTCTCTTGTTTTTCGGTCGCGCATTTTAATCTTTGTACAATGCCAAACTATAGCTTACAAGTAAAGTATCCGTGTAGTGAAAACTTTGCGGTATTTTGTTTTTGCGATTGAGCGCTCTCAGTTGTCAGGATTAAATTTTTCGATTTGGGGTTACTCAAGCTTTGGTCTGCGAACTTCTTCTGCGATTTCCAGGATATAACATATCTATGAAAATTTCATTTTACTGTCGTGTTAAGGGGATATACATCTACCGAGGGTATATACCGAGGACACTTGACTGGAGGGTCTCAATGGGGTTTTAAACCGTTAGCCATAAAACGGGCCAAAAATTGAGCCGTTAGGCGTAAAAAATGATAACCGTTTTGTGTCTTGTCTTATGGCTAGGTAGTACAAATAATGTTATAATAATACTCTTTTCTCATTTGCGGAATGGACCTTAAATATGTTTAACAGTAATCAAAATAAAATTTTTTACCTATATTAAACAATGAAAATTAATTGTTAACTTTTTAAAGCAATGGTAATTAATTTCTAAGATTTTGTTAACCGTAAAGAAAATAAATCAACTGTTACCTATAAAAAAAAGCCAAAATATTAACCGTTATCCGTAAAGACCACCACCCCATTTGGACCCTCCTGACTAGCGTGAGAAATTTATTTTCTGAATTGATGATTTAGTTTGCCTATTTTGAAATACTTTACCTGCGCGTAAGGTGTAATGGAGGCAAACTGTGTATGAAGCTCGAGCAGCTGAATGAGCTCGGGTGATTTCTTAGCGGCTTCAGCGACGCCATTAATGTAACTAAAACAGGGCGAAAAGAAAGAGGATTTAAGAAAGATATACAGCAATTCTTTAACTAACCAATTGTCTGCTAGTTTGAGCTATTGGGGAGCTTAAGCAATGACCACGGCGACCCCGAGGACAACGCCTAGTAAAAAATGAATTTATATTTTACCTTCGAATTTCGTTTGTCTAGATCTGTTCAGTGCGCCTACAGGTCTCAAAACTTGCTCAGGCTTAATGTCTAACGACGCCAGCGTTGAATTCCAAATGAAAATACGAAAAATTAGCTGCAGCCGTTCCCCAAAAACGGTTTTTTTAACCATAAAACAGAACACGCAAAGAAAAATCAACCCAACCAATACAACAGCGTTTACCGTAATAACACACGACCTAATTGAAAACAAGAAAGTCTAAAAAGCGCGGGAAAAAAGTGCAAGTCAAATACCAAATTTCGTCAGCTTGCACCTAACGATAACGTATTCTCTCTATGATTGGCTGGAACATTAAGCGCGAATTTCTTGCTCAAGAGACCAGCGCTTTCAAACTGTTTTGTTTAAACTGTTTTAGTTAAGCATGCAACCATTCTACAAGCAAGCAAGAAAGAGATGTTAGTAATGATTTTATTTCAAACCTGTCAGGCGCATTAGCAAACTCATAAGCAGCCTGTTTGTCCGAGAACGCGTAGTAATTATCCTTGTAACGTAGCACGCCATTAGCCGGGTTGGACGGAACAAGTAAACGGTCATACACAACTAGAGACCATCCACAGAAACCCTGAAACGAGACGGTAATAAAACAATCAGACAATGCGGTTTAAATAAAAACAAATAAATTCGTTTTTCTTTCTGTAAACTAATATAACAAGAAAAATGCGCCACAACGGAAAAATAATTCTTTGCAAAACTTACTTAAACGCTTTGTATAGAGCGGTTTTCAACTGAGT